TTATGAAATTAATCAAACCAGAAATTAATAAATAACATACCTCAAAACATACACAATGTGACAAAACACAAAGTAAACTACACCCTTATAGTGCATACAAAGAAAAGTATACTTATGAACATAATTTTTGAGGATATCAAGTGTAGAGAATGAAACAATAAAAAGTACAACTCATAGTATATACTGTAAAAGCATCCAGATACAAGGATAATTAATGGTTGCACTCACAAATTTCAGAGCTGTGCCAGACTCTGTATAGAACGCCCAAGGGTGCCTAGAAAGGCAAATGGAATCCACTTGTAGATGACTCCAATGGGGGGATTTCCAATGAGGCTTCAGGAACAACAGGATCAGTTGAAAGTAAATGTATTGGGACAAATATATAGGTATTTATTTTACTACTTGAATTGTAGCTTCTCATATTCACCGAACTACCATTTTAAGTGAGGGCAACCTGCCCATATAACGTGGATTAGAAGTTGAGATTAGAAATCTCAATATTAGAGTGGCAGTCTGAACCACTCAACTGTAAATAATAGGGACTCCACTAAAAATCCCCGGATTTGCAAATAAATGAGTTGGTATTAGATAAAACCTAATGGTTATCCAGGAGTTGGTTTTGGAGTGTATGTCTTTAAATAAAAAAACCGTAATGAATATTTAACAGAAAAAAATAATGGAAGATGGTTACACTAAATATATAAAAACATATAAAAGCAATTGGTATATTGCAATTGGAATTTAGAGGTGTATGTCTTTAAATTATAAATATAAAACAATGAGTCTCATAAAAAAATTATTAAGAAAAGTGCACAAGCATGTTTTGTTGGTGGATATTGATCTAAAATGGTCCTCTTTTTTTTCTTCATAAATTTAGTTTTTTTTGCATGCTCTGCACATTTTGCATGGATAGAATCCCAGTGTTTGTTGGAAGTGGTCAGCTTTGTGAGCTTGTTTAATATGGTTCCTTATTAAAAAATTTACTCACATTTTCCACTCCTCTATAAATGATTTCTAGGTTTATCTTTTATAATAGTTAACAAATCTGTGTCTGTTTTAAGAATATGCCAGTGTTTGTTGATAATGGATTTCACCTGATCGGCTTCTCTGTTCTTCTTCCTCTTTTTTATTTGTGATGATTTTGTCTCTATACTTATATTCCAAAAGAGTATTTCTTGGAATTTGCCTATTTATTTAATGTGTTGATCCAGTTGGGATGTTTCATATCTTTTGTCTTGGAAAAAAAAAGTTTTTAATTTCAAACAAATTAATATGACTATGGGAGTCAATATGTTGTATAAGATTGGTATAATACCTACCTTATGTTCCAACCCACCATACTATGTGTTGGGGCATATCTACTAAAAAGTAATCAGCCAGCTTTTGCTGCCCAGTCATTCAAAAATATTGGTCAGGTCAGGGCTTTAAATTATATAATGCCAGTGGCCATGGGGGTGAGAGCGCTATAAAATAAAAATTAAAAGTGGATACATCCAAGTGTTCCTCTCAGCCCCCAAGCATGAATTGTAAGTATGTGTTGTTATTATTATAATACATGAGGTAGACCAAGTATTGCCCCATTCCACCACCTATGAATGGTGGGTGGGTGTTATCATTATAATAAATGGACTAGACCTATGGCCAGTGGGTGGAAGCTAATAATTTATTAAACATGACCCAGTGGCTAGTGGTCCCCAAGCACCCAGCCAACCCCCTGTATAAAATGACCTATGTACTTCCCTTCAACCTAATAGTTAAATGAACTCATAATTATCTTTAAATATATTTTTCTTCCAAATAGGCCAAAAACAACACTAGGACACTAGGTTCCCCCCATTTATTAATAGCCCCAACCCACCACTCCACTCCACTCCTGGGAAACCCAGAATATCCCCTCACTTTTTTTTTAAAGAGCCTCACCTGCTGGTCGTAGATGGTGGGGTGGCTTGGGGTGGACATCAACCCCCCATTATTTAATGTTATGCCAGGTATTCTATTAGTGACTGGACAGTAGTTACCTCCAATTTACTAGTTTGAATTACAGTGAGCTGCTAACGTGGCATAGCTGCTGGGGGTCATGTCTACTAAATATTTTGGTCATTGTAACGCCCATTGGCTTGTTAAATATTTTCTTAAAATTGTAAATGTGGCAGGTGGTTAGCAAATACTGGCAAGCCGCCACATGATCAAAGGACTATTCCACCATCATAACTACTACTGGCACTATCTCCTGGTAATGGAGCAAACTGTTTTAGAACAGTACCTGGGACCCCATTTTGTGCCAGGTCTCCTGTTCAGCAGAATTTTGACATCCAGATGCTGCAGAGAATTTTGGATTTCCTGATTTCTCATAATTCAGACAAATTGAGCTTTGGGAGAAACCAAATGTAATAATTACTTGCTAGTTTCCCATCTTGCACTGGATTATCTTGGCTATTCAGTAAGCAGAGTATAATCCATTCCCTTTTACTGGCTGGTGGATACAGGCAAAGTCCAGTTAACTTGGTAGCTCTGTTTGGAATGGAGATAAGCTGTACAAAAAAGATGGTTTGCATCTTTCTCAAAAGGGAACAAATGTTCTCAGTGAGCAGTTCAGAGGTTTTGCTAGGATGTATTTAAACTAGGAGGGGGGGGCAAAAGGGTGATAAAACATCAATCCAATTGTCCCCCAAAAGAAGGACAGAAGGTGCCTGTAGCAAGTGTGTTAAAAAATGATAAGCTTAGAGTCATGTCTACAAATGCTCGCAGTTTAGGGAATAAGATCCATGAACTTGTGGCAATAATGGCAACTGATAGTGTAGATTTAGTCGCTGTTACTGAGACATGGTACAATGAGAAAAATGACTGGGACATAGCAATACCAGGGTACTCTTTATATAGGAAAGATAGGGAAGGCAAGAAAGGGGGAGGGTGGCCTTGTATGTGAAGGATAGCATAAAATCTAGCCTAATAAAAGTTAGTGAGGCAAACATAGAGTCCGTTTGGGCTACGTTAGAATTTGGTAATCACACAGTAACTCGTGTAGGTGTGATTTATAGGCCCCCAGGACAAATTGAAGAGTTAGATAATCTACTAGTTGAGGAAATAGCTAAAATGACAATGAAGGGGGAAGTTATCATCATGGGTGACTTTAATCTTCCTGATGTAAATTGGAAAACAAAATTAGCTACTTGTGCCAGGAGCACACATATTCTAAACTCCCTACTGGGATTGTCTCTAAAACAAGTTGTTGAGGAGCCAACTCGTAAAGAGGCCATACTAGATTTAGTGTTAACAAATGGAGATTTGGTATCAGATATTACTGTAGGTGAAAGTTTAGGATCCAGTGATCATCAGTCAGTGTGGTTTAATATAAGAACAGTGACTGAGTCACACCACACAAAAACAAAAGTTTTAGACTTTAGAAAAACAGACTTTTCTAAAATTAGAATATGGGTAGAGGAGTCATTATCAGACTGGAGCAATTTAAATGGAGTCCAAGAGAAATGGGATTATTTAAAGTTGCACTATTGAAGGCAACAGAAAATTGCATTAGGCTTGTCAGTAAAAGCAAAAAATTCAAGAAACCACTGTGGTACTCCGCAGATGTGGCCAAAATAGTTAAAAACAAAAAGTTAGCATTTAGAAATTATAAAAAAAACCAGAGTGAGGAAGACAAAATGATCTATAAGATTAGGCAGAAAGAGGCTAATCAAGTTATAAGAGCTTCCAAATCACACACAGAAGAGAAAATAGCACAGTCAGTAAAAAAGGGGGATAAAACATTTTTTAGATACATAAATGAGAAAAGAAAAGTAAAACAAGGATTAGTTAGATTAAAAACAAAAGAAGAAAGGTATGTAGAAGAGGATAAAGGTCAGGCTGACTGCCTCAATGAATATTTTTGTTCTGTATTTACAGAAGAAAATGAAGAAAAGGGACCTCAGTTGAGAAAAAGGATAAATGAGTCATTTATTACACATGAGTTTACAGAGGAAGAAGTTCTATTTCAACTGTCAAAGGTAAAGACAAATAAGTCAATGGGACCTGATGGAATACACCCAAAGCTATTAAAAGAGCTTAGTGGTGTACTAGCAAAACCATTAACAGATTTATTTAACCAATCATTGATAACAGGAGTAGTCCCAGAAGATTGGAAGTTGGCGAATGTTGTGCCCATTTACAAGAAAGGTAATAGGGAGGAGTCTGGCAACTATAGGCCAGTAAGCCTTACTTCAGTAGTGGGGAAAGTGATGGAAACTATGTTAAAGGATAGGATTGATGAACATCTAAAAACACATGGATTTCAAGATCAGAGACAACATGGGTTTACTTCAGGGAGATCATGCCAAACTAATCTTATTGATTTTTTGATTGGGTAACTAAAATTATAGATCAGGGTGGTGCAGTAGACATTGCTTACCTAGTTTTCAGTAAGGCTTTTGACACTGTTGCACATAGAAAGCTTATCAATAAACTGCAATCTTTAAGTTTGGATTCAAATATTGTTGAATGGGTAAGGCAGTGGCTGAGTAACAGGCAACAGAGGGTTGTAGTTAATGGAATATATTCGAAGCTTGGACTTGTCACCAGTAGGGTACCTCAGGGATCTGTACTTGGACCCATTCTCTTTAATATTTTTATTAGTGATATTGCAGAAGGTCTTGATGGTAAGGTATGTCTTTTTGCTGATGATACTAAGATATGTAACAGGGTTGATGTTCCAGGAGGGATAAGCCAAATGGCAAATGATTTAGGTAAACTAGAAAAATGGTCAGAATTGTGGCAACTGGCATTTAATGTGGATAAGTGCAAGATAATGCATCTTGGACGTAAAAACCCAAGGGCAGAGTACAGAATATTTGATAGAGTCCTAACCTCAACATCTGAGGAAAGGGATTTAGGGGTGATTATTTCTGATGACTTAAGGTAGGCAGACAATGTAATAGAGCAGCAGGAAATGCTAGCAGAATGCTTGGTTGTATAGGGAGAGGTATTAGCAGTAGAAGAGGGAAGTGCTCATGCCATTGTACAGAACACTGGTGAGACCTCACTTGGAGTATTGTACACAGTACTGGAGACCGTATCTTCAGAAGGATATTGATACCTTAGAGAGGGTTCAGAGAAGGGCTACTAAACTGGTTCATGGATTGTGGGATAAAACTTACTAGGAAAGGTTAAAGGATCTTAACATGTATAGCTTGGAGGAAAGACGAGACAGGGGGGATATGATAGAAACATTTAAATATATAAAGGGAATCAACACAGTAAAGGAGGAGACCATATTTAAAAGAAGAAAAGCTACCACAACAAGAGGACATAGTCTTAAATTAGAGGGACAAAGGTTTAAAAATAATATCAGGAAGTATTACTTTACTGAGAGGTAGTGGATGCATGGAATAGCCTTCCAGCTGAAGTGGTAGAGGTTAACACAGTAAAGGAGTTTAAGCATGCGTGGGATGGGCATAAGGCTATCCTAACTATAAGATAAGACTAGGGACTAATGAAAGTATTTAGAAAATTGGGCAGACTAGATGGGCCGAATGGTTCTTATCTGCCGTCACATTCTATGTTTCTATGTTTCTAGACTCACTTGAATCATTTTTATTGCATCATGGTTTTTATTTCTTCATTTCTATTTTTTTTTTTTGTTGAATTAGATTATTTTATTTTAATTAGTTTGGTCAGGTTATTATGCTTTTTTATTAACCGTTTTTGGTATGAAGAAATAAGATTTGAAATAGTAAGTGTAAAATTTTATTTTATTTAGTTGGAACGGGTAAATGCTTATTTAGGTATATTGGCCCTGTAAATTGTGGATTCATTATAGGTACATCAAAGGGGCCCATAAGACTGAGAATATCCTGGCCCTCATTATTACCTATCAACCAGCTGTCAGAGGGTTGAAATATGGGATAGGGGACACGATTGAGTTCTCTGGCCATTATTATAAGGGTCTGAGAAAATTCATGTTTTTTTATTTATTATTATTACCAGTATTTTTATTTTCGTGTGACTTTCTAGAACAGAGCAAAAATCAGTTTTTTGCACTTTTTAAATTGTGTACAAGGATATCAATATGTGGTAATCTTTGTCAAGTTGAGAAGAAATACTAGTACTTCACTACTGAAAATAGCAACACACTTAAAAATCTATCAATACTTTGTAGCTGCTAATATCTTTTGACTTTTGTTAACAGCTCAGAGCAGAAAATTACTTGCAAGGTGGGAAACTAACCCCATGAGTCTCAAAATATAACAGTCAGACGGTAAATATTTATGTATATAGTCCCAGATTGGCAAAAGTACTTTAGTTCAATGTGGGTCTTTAGAGACAGAGGATAGTGGTCCTTGCACTTCCCAATTTCCGTGTATACAGAAAGGGGTGATAAAAGATGGAAACTAAGAGTGCAATATGTTTTACTTAATATAAATAAAACAGTAAAATAGTGGGGTTACACTCACATTTCATAGAGCTTAAGCCAGCTCTGCTGTGTATGGCATACAGCGGTACAATCCCCACTTATAGGCAGGGACGTATTAGCCGCGAGGCAAACAAGGCATTTGCCTTGGGCGGCACTTTCCAGGGGGCGGCAAAAAAAGCCACCCCCAAATGCCCATGCAAATGTCTTGTTAGCCTGCTGGCTAACTGAAAATCCAGGCGGGTGGGCGGCGTTGGCGAGGGAGGACTGATTAGTGAGCTCTCTGCTCAGCTCCCTCATGCGCCGCAGAGTGATGCCGGGACCCGGAATATGACATCATATTCCGGCTCCAGGCATCACTCTGCGGTGAGCGAGGGAGCTGAACAGGAGGATCAGTCCTCCCTCGCCGCCTGCAGTCACCGGCCGGCTGCCCAGTAGCCCCACTGGACCCCAGGGAAACGAGAATCCACCCCAGCTTTCCCAAAGGTAAGGAGGCTGGGGGGATTGAATTGAAAAAAATAGTGTGTCTGTTAGTGAGTGAGTGTGTGTGTCTGTTAGTGTGTGTGTCTGTTAGTGAGTGAGTGTGTGTGTGCGTGTCTGTTAGTGTGTGTGTCTGTTACTGATTGAGTGTGTCTGTTAGTGTGTGAGTGTGTGTGTCTGTTAGTGTGTGTGTCTGTTAGTGAGTGTGTTTGTCTTTTAGTGAGTGAGTGTTTGTGTGTGTGTGTGTCTGTTAGAATGTGTATGTCTGTTAGTTTATGTGTCTGTTAGTGAGAGCGTATGTGTGTCTGTTAGCTAGTGTATGTGTGTCTGTCAGTGAATGTGTGTGTGTGTGTGTGTGTGTGTGCACATTTAGAAGGCTGGGAAGAGATAAATGTGTTTCTTTCTTGAACCACAATGGTCAAGGTATATGAAAATATTCTGAAAAGTTTACTTAATACAAGAGTATTGTGGATTATTTTTAATTATTAACTTTTTCTATTTCAGTTCTATATTACAATGTAAAATGAATGACTGCATACAATATAATTAATGAAATTACTTACACTGTTCAGGAACAATGCTTATCATCTCGCTCCTGCTATAGAGTAGGCTTGCTTAACATACTATGCCATATTCAGTACATAATTATTATTCTAGACCTACAATACAGACATACTGACAATTCATGCACCTGTACACAATATTCATCTGTGCCTTAGCAGTTCCATTAGTTAGAGAAACCAGTCAACAAAATAAATCTGTATGATCTGCGTATGCAACTATCACTGTGTTGTTCAAGCTAATAAAATACACATATTTTGGCTTCTGTTATTTAATGACACCTGCATAATGTTTGCATGTAGAAAATATGTAATTTATCACGCTAGACAAACTTACCTTTGTATTAGAAGCTAAATTGTAGCAAAGTAAAACTACATCTGTTCACTAAAATTGATTAATTTTGTGTAATGTTTAAAAATAAGGTTATGCTTTGTAGTCACAAACAAGTCTTTCAATTAAAAGAACTGTCACAAATCTTTACCAGTAGCTTTTGTACTCTGGAGGAAAGACCAAGCCAGTCCATTAATTTAGTGATCATTTTAATTGGCTGTGCATATTTTTACACTTGGGTAAGTTGCGTGCAGCCATTCTTCAGCTGCGAACTGCGATGAACAGCATTGTCTTGGAGTTATTAAAAACGCATACTGTTAAATTGCATAGAGTTGATCCAGTGTCTTCCAGAGGAGAGAGAATATTTGATACATTTTTAACTGAAATAAATATTATTTAGGCAATATATATTTATTACCAGGTTTTGTTCATAGGTAGTGGGTAACCTATCAGAATTGCGGCTAATGCTGTTAAGTATTTTGTACCTTTAACAACAGATGGTTTAGAAAATGTGACAACCAGTACAGTAGATATATTTTTAGTTAAAAATACATAACGATAGTTCACATAGATTCTAAAATACTGGTGCATAATTTTTCACAAGATAAAATCATGGTAGCATCTATGTATTAATTGGAAAATATTATAATATCTTAATATCCTTTTTTTCCATTGATAAGAGTATATCCATAAGTGGTTTGTAAGTAGCATGCACAACTTTGTAAACAGCAAGCACAAAGCATTGCAAAAGTAAAATATCTTCAAATTGGCTTTTCAATAAAATTTTATTTAATTTCAAACTCACCTACTGCAACTATCTCTCACTGTCAAGCTCAATTTAAGTTGTCCAGTAGTTGCAAAAATACCAGGCTTGGTATGATCAGTTCTTCATTAATCACAGTATGTAGCTGACTTATTTTAACTGAACAAAAAACCGTTTGTGGAATGGATGTACCTGGTAGTGAAGGCATACAACTCTCTATTCCATTTGGATGAAGGAATGCCACATCTACTTGTTTCTCATGTGGAGGAACATAAGCAATATATTATAGGTTACTGGTGGCCAGTGCATACAATTTGCCATATTTGTCAAACAGAACCAGAATATTCACCTTCTTAAAAACCATAAAACAAAGAAAGAACTGCATTACTAAAATGATAAATGTAAGACAGCAATATATCGTAGAACAAATTGACATTTACATTCAAACAGTAAAAATAGTTTATATGTTTGCCACAAACACATAGTGATCTTATCAATCAAGATGTGAAAGTTGTTATCGGAACCATAATATTTTACTGAGGTCTGCTCCTAAAAGCAGTTAAGTGTTTTGTTTTTTTCTAACTAGTAATGTTGAATATTTAAGCCACAAACAGTTTTTATTTAATTATATATCTATGTTAGCCTAAAACACAAATGTACTTATTGGATATTAGAATTGGTATATTGTAATATTTTTATTTGGTATTGTTACATTTTACTCAGCATTTGATTTATAAACTGATACATTTTCAAATGTTTGCATGATTTTTTTTTAGAGTTGGAAGCAGAAGAGTGGTGCAAGTTTTTATGTGTGGAATGCCTGGGAACCAGACTTAATGACATAAGCCTTGGGGAACCTGACCTACTTGCTGCTGGGGTGCAAAGAGAACAAAATGGTGAGTTACTTTGCTACATTTATAATGTTTAATATATATACACTGCTCAAAAAAATAAAGGGAACACAAAAATAACACATCCTAGATCTGAATGAATTAAATATTCTTCTGAAATACTTTGTTCTTTACATAGTTGATTGTGCTGACAACAAAATCACACAAAAATTAAAAAATGGAAATCAAATTTTTCAACCCATGGTCTGGATTTGGAGTCACACTCAAAATTAAAGTGGAAAAACACACTACAGGCTGTTCCAACTTTGATGTAATGTCCTTAAAACAAGTCAAAATGAGGCTCAGTAGTGTGTGTGGCTTCCACGTGCCGGTATGACTTCCCTACAATGCCTGTGCATGCTCCTGATGAGGTGGCAGATGGTCTCTTGAGGGATCTCCTCTCAGACCTGGACTAAAGCATCTGCCAACTCCTGGACAGTCTGTGGTGCAACGTGATGTTGGTGGATGGAGTGAGACATGATGTCCCAGATGTGCTCAATTGGATTCAGGTCTGGGGAATGGGCAGGCCAATCCATTGCATCAATGCTTTCGTCTTGCAGGAACTGCTGACACACTCCAGCCACATGAGGTCTAGCATTGTCTTGCATTAGGAGGAACCCAGGGACAACCACACCAGCATATGGTCTCACAAGGGGTCTGAGGATCTCATCTCGATACCTAATGGCAGTCAGGCTACCTCTGGCAGGCACATGGAGGGCTGTGCGGCCCCCCAAAGAAATGCTCCTACTGCCAAACCGGTCATGCTGGAGGATTTTGCAGGCAGCAGAACATTCTCCACGGCGTCTCCAGACTGTGTCAAGTCTGTCACATGTGCTCATTGTAAACCTGCTTTCATCTGTGAAAGGTCGCCAATGGCGAATTTGCAAATCT